CCTGAAATTTCTGGGAAATATTGAAGCACTTTTAAAAGGGAAGTAGTCAACATACCTTCATAGTGGCTCAAATGAAAAAGATTGAAAATATCCAGTGGTGGCCGGGTGCAGTGGCTCACACCTATCCCAGCACTTTGGGAGGCTGAAGCAGGTGGATCATCTGAGGTCAGGAGTTCAAGACCAGCCTGGCCAACATAGTGAAACCCTGTCTTTACTAAAGATACAAAAGTTAGCTGGGCATGGTGGTGGGCGCCTGTAATCCCAGCTACTCGGGAGGCTAAGGCAGGAGAATCATTTGAACCTGGGAGGCAGAGGCTGCAGTGAGCCGAAATTGTGCCACTGCATTCCAGCCTGGGTGATAGAGTGAGACTCCGTCTCAAAAAAAAGAAAGAAAACATCCAGTGGTGGTGAGGATGAGAAGCAGCTGGACCGTCATACACAGCGGGTGGGGATATAAACTGGTTCAACTACTTAGGAAAGTTGGAGTTTTGGTTTGTTTGTGTGTTTGTGAGACAGGGTCTCACTCTGTCACCCAGGTTGGAGTGCAGTGGCACTATCTCAGCTCACTGCAACCTTCACCACTTCCTGGATTCAAGTGATTCTTGTGTGTCAGCCTCTCGAGTAGCTGGGACTACAGGTGCACACCACCATACCCGGCTAATTTTTGTATTTTTAGTAGAGACAGGGTTTCACCATGTTGGACTGGCAGGTCTCAAACTCCTGAGCTCAAGTGATCTGCCTGCCTAAGCCTCCCAAAGTGCTGGGATTACAGGTGTGAGCCACTGCGCCCAGCCAGGAAAGTTGTTTGGTAGAATCCACTATTGTTGAACAGTCACTTATCCTATGAACTAGCAATTCCAGCCTGAGCAGCAAACATGCATTCAAAAGCATGTTCAAGAATGCTCCTGGACCTGTGCGGTGGCTCACACCGGTAATCCCAACATTTTGGGAGGCCGAGGATGGCAGATCACCTGAGTCGGGAGTTTGAGACCAGACTGACCAACATAGAGAACGGCCGTCTCTAGACTAAAAATACAAAATTAAGCTGAGCATGGTAGCCTGTAATCTCAGCCTACTTGGAGGTCTAGGCAAAGACAATCGGCTTGAATCCGGAAGGCAGAGGTTTGGAGCTGATGATAGCCATTGCACTTCCAAGCCGGGCCAACAAGAGCAAAACTCTGTCTCAAAAAAAAAAAAAAAAAAAAATCTGCTTCCTGACAGCAGGCCGCTCATCTTCAGCCCACCACGAGGAAGCAACGCAAGTATCGAATCAACAATGAATGAAACGTGAATAGAGGTGTTGAGTAACTACATGTTAAATGGAATACCATCGCAGCAATGAGAAATGAAGCTTAACCTATGCCCGCAACATCCATGAATACGGATCTATAAAAAAGAAGTTTACTAGTAACAGAAACCAGAACCAGACACAAGAGTAATTACACTGCCGCACTGAAATGTATACTTAAAAATTGGTTAAAATGGCAAATTTAAAAAAATGCTAATAGAGATGGGGTTCCACTATGTTGCCCAGGGCTGGTCCTTGACTCCGGGCTCAAGCAATCCACCCCCCTCAGCCCTCCAAGTGCTAGATCTGACCAGGGCTCGTGAGCACCATGTCCGCGCCTACGAGTGCTTAACTGGTATGTTATGATCACGATTATTATTCTCGCCACAGTACAAAAAAAAAGTGTAGGTGGGCGGACTGGGCGAAACAGAACTGTACGCAACACAAGTGCATCTTATATGACAACTATGTTCTCAGTTAATAATAATGTATCAAAGCCGCGAGCATGGGGGCTCACACCTGTATCTCAACACTTTGGGACGCCGAAGGCGGCGAGCACCTGAGTCCAGGAGGTTGAGACCAAGCACTGGCCAAGACAGGTGGAGCAACCCTGTCTGGTATCTATAAAAATACAAAAATTAGCCAAGCATTATGGTGTGTGCCTATAATCCCAGCTACTTCGGGAGGCTGACCACCCAGAATCGCTTGACATCTGGAAGGAAGAGGTTGCAGTGACAGCTGAGATTGTGCCACTGCACTCAGCCCTCGCGCACACCAAACAAGACTTTTGTCTCTCGTTATTTTATTATTATTTTTCTTTTTTTTGAGCACGAGTCTTGCTCCTGGGCCAGCTGGAGTGCAGTGGGCAAATCCTGGCTCAGACGTGCAATCCCGCCTCCGGGTTCAAATGATTCTCCTGCCTCAGCCCTCCCGAGTAGCTGGGCTACAGGCATGCCGCCAACCACCCGGTCGGCATTTTTGTAAATTTTTAGTGAGGGATGTGGTGTCTCATCAATGTTGGCCAGGCTGATCTTAGAATCCTGACTCAACGTGTCTCCGCCTCCAGCCTTCACAAGTGCTGAGAGATTTACAGGTGTGAGCCATCGCAACAGGTTGAACTCTGGTCTCAACAACAAACAAGAATGTATCAAATATTCCACCATCATTGTACACGAAATATATTCAACTACTGAATTATAATGGGGCAACCTGCACAGTGGCGTGGGCCAAATCTGGGCGCTTTACTCCTCAACACAACTATCCCACAATAATCGATTAAGCCGAAGACTGCTCAAAATTATGGAAAATTCCTTGGCTCCCTCCATAAAAGTGTACTATGAATCTAATATATTACAAAATGCAACAACAACGCAAACAAATTCAGTGCAAATACCCGTTGGTCATGGTACCGCTTGAGAAAGGCAAACAGAGACTATCTTGCAAATATACAAACAAACGTCTCTTATAGCGGTGGTTACGTCCACATGGGTCGTTGTTTTACATTGCAAAATCATCAAAGCTACACATGATCAAGCCCTACTACAGTGACGTAATACGCATTTTGTCTATTTATTTAGGTATTTTTGAGACAGAATCTCACTCTGTCACCCAGGCTGGAGTGCAGTCGTGCGATCTTGGCTCACTGCAACCTCTGCCTCCCAGATTCAAGCAATTGTCATGCCTCAGCTTCCTGAGTGGCTGGAATTACAGGTGTGCGCCACCACACCCAGCTAATTTTTTTTGCATTTTTAGTAGAGATGAGGTTTCACTATGTTGGCCAGGCTGGTCTTGAACTCCTGGCCTCACTCAAGTGATCCTCCCACCTCAGCCTCTCAAAGTGCTGGAATTACAGGCGTGAGTCACCGGGCCCAGCTGACATATGCACTTTTCCATATTGTACCCTGTAATTTAATTTTTTTAAGTTTTAAGAAAACATTAAAAATAAAAAGATAAATAGTCTCTCACACAGGAGAATTTCAAATAGTTTATGGAGATAATCCCTCCTCAAGGAGAAGGAGCATAACCCCCCACTCATTCGGTGTGGGCTGTGCATAGTGACTTCCTTCCAAAGGGTACAGCATGGAAAGGGAGGAAAGGAGTAACTTTACAGTGAAGAGACCTGACACGCACTACCTCAGCCAGGTGATCAAGGTCAACATCAACACCTGTAAGTCATACTGATAGGATATAACCTTGATATGATGTGACAAGAATGGCACCTTACCTCCAAGGTCTTCCTACCAACAAACCATAACCCCAGGCTTACCATGAGAAAAACATCAGGCACATTCCAATAGTGGGCATCCTACAAAATATCCAACCAGTACTCCTGAAAATTATCAAGGTCATCAAAAACAAGGATATCCTGAGAAACTGTCACAGCCAAGAGGAGTCCAAAGAGACACGATGACTAAATGTCATGTGATATCCAGTGGGTCCTGGAACAGGAAAAGGACATTAGGTAAAACCCAAGGGAATCTAAGTAAACCATGGACTTTAGTTAATTAGAGAGACAGACAGAGAGAAAGAAAAAGTCCATTTTCTATACAACTGAGCCTAACCTCAAACCCTAACCTTTTTCATTGAGCCATCCGAACCCAATGGAGATAAAGACAGGAAACAACCTTCCTCTTCTCCCATTCATGGTCTTCCAAAATGCTCTGTTCCTCTATTGGATTCCCCAACCATGTGCCTTGGCATCTTCACAGGTTGATCCCACAGTTTTCTCATTTTCAGGAATAAAAGCCCACTCACGTCTAAATCAAAACTTCCCTCTCACATCCATGCTGGGCACGGTGGCTCACACCTGTAATACCAGCACTTTGGGAGGCCAAGGCAGAAGGATTGCTTGGGCCCAGAAGTTCAAGACCAACCTGGGCAACACGGTGAGACCTCCTCTCTACAAAAAAATGTTTAAAACTAAAAAATTAGCCAGGCATGGTGCACACACCTGTGACTGTGATCCCAGCTACTCAGAAGGCTGAGGCAAGACGATTGTTTGAGCTCAGGAGGTCTAGGCTGCAGTGAGCCATGACTGTGGCACAGAACCCCAGCCTGGGTGACAGAGCAAGACTCTGTATCTTCAAAAAAAAAAGATAGAAAACTTCCTTTTCACATCCAATTTAAGGCTTGCCCTCATCCTCCTCTTAGACCTGACTGAGATCTGGGTCCATATTAAAGACTCCTTTAGTATAACAAACACCATATATCTGCACATAAGTCCATGAATAGCTGACATTTCTCATATCTACTTTCTCTTGATTTATTGATTGATAGGTATACTTTTTAAAATTTTATGGGTACATAGTAGGTGTATATATTTATGGGGTACATGAAATGTTTTGATCCAGGCATGCACTGTGAAATAAGCACATCATAGAGAATGGGGTATCCATCCCCTCAAGCAAGGGTAAACCTTTGAGTTACAAACAATCCAATTATACTTTTTAAAGGTGTACTTTTTTTTTTTGAGACTGAGTCTCGCTCGGTCGCCCAGGCTGGAGTGCAGTGGCACGATCTCGGCTCACTGCAGCCTCCACCTCCTGGGTTCAAGCGATGTTCCTGCCTCAGCCTCCCGAGTAACTGGAATTACAGGCATGCGCCACCACGCCCGGCTAATTTTTGTATTTTTAGTAGAGATGGGGTTTCACCAGGTTGGCCAGGCTGATCTCAAACACCTGACCTCAGGTGACCCGCCCACCTCGGCCTCTCAAAGTGCTGGGATTACAGATGTGAGCCACCGCGCCTGGCCTAAAGGTGTACCTTTTTTAACAGAATCATTCAAAAGGAGGTTGCAGGGATCTTGACACTTCCACACTGCAGCATTAATCTCCTAAGAATAAGGATACACTCCCACATACCATGACACTCTGTTCACACCTAAAAAAATTAACATTTATTCCAGAATATCATCTAATCTCCAGTCCATGCTCACATGTCCCCAATTGTCCCCAAAATGCCTTTTGTAAATTTTAAAATTTTTTTTTGGTTAAATGCCGCATCCAATCGAGGTTCACATATTGCATTTGGTTATGTCTCTTAGTCTTTTTGCATGAGGGAGGCCTCTCTTTAGTATGCAAAATCCTTATCATCTCTTCTTTGCCACTTGGGGACTTGGGCTGAAAATCAGGAGTGGCTGGAACATGCCCATTTACTGTCTGGTTTTGCAGGTTGTTGGAGGATATACAGAAGAACATCCTTCTGGAGAGGGGCCGTGAGCCTGGTTGGTCTAGACTGAGTGCCCTGGCAGAGCTCTTCCTCATGTGTGCATGGGAAAGAAGCCCAGATCAGTCCAAAGGCCTAACCCCCACTCCCAGACCCTACCCTACTCTTCAGAGAAATAGGCTCCCTACCCTGAACCCTGAAGAAAACTGTACCTTCATCCCCAGGGACCCAGCACCCCTTCTGGCCTATCCCCAAAGAGTCACCGTGGGCGTTGGGTAGTAGGTGGAGCTGAGGGATCATGGCCCAAGATCAAGGGTTGGTCCTTCCAACTTTGTTCAGTGATCCAGCTTTGATATTAGGCGACCAGGACAACCAGGCCAATCCGATAGGGGATGGTGTTTATAAAAAGGCCACTCACCTAGAGCCAAAAGCTCCAGACCAGCCACTACAACTCTGCTAATCTCAAGCACTTGCCTCTACAGGTACCTTTCTTGGGACCAGTTTCCAATCTCTGGGATCCCCAATTATAGAACTTGGAAGCTAGTGGAGACAGAAAGATGGGGAGCCTGGGCTAGGTGTAGGGGGCCTGGGTTCCAGGTTTTGCTACTCAGCTCTTGACTTGTGTTTCCCCATTTTAAATGAGCAGTTTGGACTGAGCCATTTTTAAGGAGAGAGATGGGGAGGGCTTCCCCCTTAGCACAAGGGCAGCCCTGGCCCTGGCTGCAGCCCAACCTCAACCTCCAAGACGGTGAGAGGATGGGGACTCATCCCTGGAGGAGATGCCCTTCCTGGTATTGATAAAGAGTGCCCTGGGAAGGGGGCATCACAGGCTATTTGAATCAGCCCTGGGACCTTGGCTTCCTCAGTGTCACTGGGTAGGGGGAGCTCCCGGTCCCCTGGGTGTGTAGAAGGTATCAACAGAAAGCCAGCACTGGCAGGGACCCTTTGGCACAATGCCCAGCATGCATGCTGTGCCAGGGGCTGACAAGGGTGCTGTCCTTGGCTTCCCCGTTTTGGGGTGGTCACTTGCCTCTACTCCAGCTCCAGAAGCAGAAACTAACTGAGAGGATGGGTGGAGGAGAGAGCCAGGGTTCAGGCTGGGAATCTTGAGGCTTCTTGCCAGTTCTCAGATTCTGTGACGCTCAAAGGGTGAGCTCTGGGGGCACAGGACACATGGTAGATGAATCTTAGTCTTTCTGGTATCCAGTTGGGAGCCAAGCACAGAACACACATCAGTGTTTATCAAATGACTGAGGAAATGAATGAATGAATGTCTCCATCTCAACCCTCAGCCTGGTCCCTCCTTCCTTTTTCCCTGTAGTTGGTACAGATGGCATTGTCCCAGTCTGTTCCCTTCTCGGCCACAGAGCTTCTCCTGGCCTCTGCCATCTTCTGCCTGGTATTCTGGGTGCTCAGGGGTTCGAGGCCTCGGGTCCCCAAAGGCCTGAAAAGTCCACCAGAGCCATGGGGCTGGCCCCTGCTCGGGCATGTGCTGACCCTGGGGAAGAACCCGCACCTGGCACTGGCAAGGATGAGCCAGCTCTACGGAGACGTGCTGCAGATCCGCATTGGCTCCACACCCGTGCTGGTGCTGAGCGGCCTGGATACCATCCGGCAGGCCCTGGTGCGGCAGGGCGACGATTTCAAGGGCCGGCCTGACCTCTACAGCTTCACCCTCATCACTGATGGCCAGAGCATGTCCTTCAGCCCAGACTCTGGACCGGTGTGGGCTGCCCGCCGGCGCCTGGCCCAGAACGCCCTCAACACCTTCTCCATCGCCTCTGACCCAGCCTCCTCATCCTCCTGCTACCTGGAGGAGCATGTGAGCAAGGAGGCTGAGGCCCTGATCAGCAGGTTGCAGGAGCTGATGGCAGGGCCTGGGCACTTCGACCCTTACAATCAAGTGGTGGTGTCAGTGGCCAACGTCATCGGTGCCATGTGCTTCGGACAGCACTTCCCCGAGAGCAGTGATGAGATGCTCAGCCTTGTGAAGAACAGTCATGAGTTCGTGGAGAGCGCCTCCTCCGGGAACCCCGTGGACTTCTTCCCTATCCTTCGCTACCTGCCCAACCCTGCCCTGCAGAGGTTCAAGGCCTTCAACCAGAGGTTCCGGCGGTTCCTGCAGAAAACAGTCCAGGAACACTATCAGGACTTTGACAAGGTGAGCCCGGGGTGCAGGTGGCGAGGGGCACCTTGCAGGGCCTGGGTACAGCCCCTCCCTCCCAGCTCTAGCATGCTCACACAGCCACTGTGTTGCCAAGGCCTAGGAAGGCTCTGGATACCTCAGACCAGCTGTGTGACCTGGAGTCAACTCTTCCCCTTCTCTGGGCTTCAGTTTCCTCATCCTTGAAGCCCCCTTCTCAGAGCTCCTCAAAGCCCCCAAGAAAAAAGTCCTGGAAATGGGGCCCTAGCAGAGCCCTGCAATGTGGGGGGCCGATGAGTGAGAAAGCTTTCATTCTGCAGAAACCTGAATCCCAACAGAGGCTAATCCCCAGTTCTGGTGCCACGTTGCTTCCCTGTGTTCACACTAACCTTTTCCTCTTTTGAAATTGGACCCCTGGGGTTATTGGGAAGAAGGGTCAATGGGGCATAAAATGACACTTTACGTCATACCCAGGGCTGCTACCAGCTCCTGCTGCGAGCTGTAGCCCCCTGCCTAGAGAGCAGGTGGGAGGAGTAGCCCCCAGGGACAGGCGAGGGGTGTGGAGCAATGTTCAGCGTTTGACCTTGGAAGTGCCAGGGGTACCTCTAAGCTTGTGCTCCCTCAGAACAGTGTCCAGGACATCACGGGTGCCCTGTTCAAGCACAGCAAGGAGGGGCCTAGAGCCAGTGGCAACCTCATCCCCCAGGAGAAGATTGTCAACCTTGTCAATGACATCTTTGGAGCAGGTAGGAGCCAGAACCCTGCCCCTCCATCGAACAATGCCTGCTGTTCACCCACAGTCTTGCCCAGTCCCTCAGTCCATCAAACAACCCGCCAACCCTACACCAGATGGTACAACATACTGAGACATGCCCTAGGATCAGGGTTTGAGCCTGGGCTGTGCCACCAATTCCCAGTGGAGACACAGCAAAGTCCTTCTCCTCCCCTAGGCTTCAGTTTCCCCATCTGAACAATAAAGTGTTCTCTGGCCTGTAAGTCTAGGCCCCTGTAATTCTGGCAGCTAATTCTGAAACCTGTATCTCAAGTTTATGTTGAAAAGACCCAGCCTCTGTCCTCAGGAAACTCACGGGCTAGGGCGAGAGAAAGCTAATGCTGGGTACACACATAGTAGATAATTGGGAAATGATGGTTTCCTTGTTTCTGTCTTCCTTCCTTCCTCACCTTACCCTACACGGTCCAGGATTTGACACAATTGCAACAGCCATCTCCTGGAGCCTCATGTACCTTGTGACCAAGCCCGAGATACAGAGGAAGATCCAGAAGGAGCTGGGTATATGGGGGCCCCCAACCCTATGGCCAGGAGAAGCCTTGAGACCCAGTTTGTGTGTTCAGTCTACAAACACCTGTTATGTGCCTACTATGTGCAAGCCCTGGGAACACAGTAGTGCCTGCCCTTGCCTAGAAGATGTGGGAGGTTAGTGGGGTCGCAGACTTGTGAATAGACAGTCTTACATGGAGTGACGTGGGGTATAAGAGGGGACAATTCATGGGGCAGTTAGGGCAGCCCATGAGTTCTGCTTGTCCTCTGTGTTCTACAGATGCTGTGATTGGCAGGGGGCGGCGACCCCGGCTCTCTGACAGACCCCAGCTGCCCTACTTGGAGGCCTTCATCCTGGAGACCTTCCGACACTCCTCCTTCGTCCCCTTCACCATCCCCCATAGGTGAGGGCTGCTGGTTCTGCCCTCCCACCTCTGATGTCCTTGCCATATTTTCTCTTCCTGGCTTCTCAGCCCTGGCCCTGGCTCAGCATCTCCTTCCCGACCTCATTCCACACAGATCCCAGCCTCAGTCTGCCCCCATCCAGTCCAAACATAATCTAACCCCCAGCTCTCAGGAGAAAGTTCCACTTGTGATCTCAGCGCTCATTCCCTTCTGCTCATATTCCCTCCCTCCCAGTGCCCTCTGTGCCAGCCAGGTCGGCCTCAGCCTCACAAGCATGACCCTACTGGCCTCCAATTTTGGTAACGCTGAACCTTCTGCCTGGAATGCCTTCTAGTCTCTTCTCTGACCACCAGAATCCTACCCTTGCTCAAAGTCAATGCCGATGCGAGCTTCCTCTCCCCAGAAGCCTTTTGACTCATCCAGCTGGCACAGCTTCACTCCTGATGTCTTATAGGACTTACAGCCATCAGCACTTGGTCATGCCCCGGAATTTTAACAATGTCAAGAGAGTTAGTGAGCATTTACTTCTGCCCAAATGTTGTTCCAGTTATTCCTAGAGTAAGAGGCCTGAATCCCCAGCCAGGCTAGAAACTCCCCAGGGCTGGCCCAGGCTGCCTGCTGCTTTTTTTTTCTTTTTTAATAGAAAATAGAAAAACATTTATCTGAAATTGCCTGTTTCTTGGCTCCAGAGAACAGCCAAGTGCACAGCCAGACACAAAGAGAAGTTTAGTAAATACTTGCTGAAGTTAAAGAACAGGAGGCAAGGAAGAGGGAGGATGACTCTACCCCTTCCCTGTTCCTCCCCTCTCCTCCCATTGTAGGGATGGAGATGGCAGTGGGCAGGCTATCAGGATGGGGTGGAGGTAGGAACAACACACAGCCCAGCTTTCCAGCCCTGAGTCTCACAGTGCCCTCTTCCCTCAGCACAACAAGGGACACAACACTGAACGGCTTCTACATCCCCAGAGAATGCTGTGTCTTCATAAACCAGTGGCAGGTCAACCACGACCCGTGAGTACACACCCCTCACAGAAAAATGTGTGCAGGTTCAGCAGTCAGGAAGGCTGTTCGTCCCCGCTAGGAACCGTTTATATAATGAAAGGAGGGAACCTCAGTTGCTAAATAGTCTGCTGTAAGTGACAATATTTGCAAAGGTTTCACAAACTTTAGTGTACAGGAATCAACCAGGATGACCAGGCGCGGTGGCTCATGCCTGTAATCCCAGCACTTTGGGAGGCCGAGGCACACAGATCACTTGAGGTCAGGAGTTCGAGACCAGCCTGGGCAACATGGTGAAACCCTGTCTCTACTGAAAATAAAAAAAAAAGAAAAAGATTAGCTGGACATGGTGGTGTGCCTATAATCCCAGCTACTCCAGAGACTGAGGCAGGAGAATCGCTTGAACTCTGGAAGCAGAGGTTGCAGTGAGCCGAGATCGTGCCACTGCACTCCAGCATGGGTGACAGAGTGAGACCCTGCTTCAAAAAAAAAAAAAATCAACCAAGATGTTTGTAACAGCTGATGGTTCCCCTAAGATTCTACTGTGGTGTCTAAGGGGGGGTGCCTCAGGCGATTCTGATGTGAATGGCCCAGAGACCTCTCTTTGGAAAGCCTCACTTTGGTGTATGGGTAGGGGGACCATATAATTTACCATCTACACTGGGACACTTGAGTGTGAAAACGCTATCAATGTTTATGCTAGTCATCATTACTCCAAAACAATAAACATAAGCCAGGACATACTGTTGAGGCCCTTTGGGAGGCATATTTTCAGTAGGATGAAGAGACATATGTTTTTCTTTCTTTCTTTTTCTTTTACTTTTTCTTTTTCTTTTTTTTTTTTTTTTGCTTTTTTTAAACTTTAATTTTTAAATAGAGGCAAGGTCTCCATATGTTGTCCAGGCTGGCTTTGAACTCCTGGGCTCAAGGGATCTTCCTTCCTCAGCCTCCCAAAGTACTAGGGTTACAGATGTGAGCCACCAAAACCAGCCTGTTTTTCTTCTTTAAATTCCTTTTAGATAAAGCATTATTTAAAGTAAATTAATATTAAAAGGCACTATCTTTAAGGCTGGTCATTTTAGAGAGAGCTTTGTAAAAGAAATAAGCATCAGGCCAGGTGTGGTGACTCATGCCTGTAACCCCAGCACTTTGGGAGTCCAAGGAAGGTGGATCGCTTGAGCTCATGAGTCTGAGATCCCTGACACCCCGTCTCTGCAAAAAAAAAAAAAAAAAAGAAAGAAAGAAAAAAACAAAAACACAAAAATTAGCCGGATGTGGTGCCAGTAGTCCCAGCTACACGGGAGGCTCAGGTGGGAGGATGGCTTGAGCTGGGGAGGCAGAGACTGCAGTGACCTAAGATGGCACCACTGTACTCCAGCCTGGGTTATAGGAGCCAGAGTTTGTCTAAAAACAAAAAAGAAAGAAAGAAAAAGGAAAAAAGAAGTAAGCATCAAAGTTCAGTTTGGTTCCTTCCCACTTACCCTTCATTGCTTTCAACATGTCCTCACACTTGTGATCTCAACAGAAGTCTCCCTTCCCCAGGCCCCTCCTCCCAGGGCCTCCCCAGCCCTGAAGTCCTATCTCCTCTGTTCCCTTTGCAGGCAGCTGTGGGGGGACCCATCTGAGTTCCGGCCCGAGCGGTTCCTCACCGCCGAAGGCACCACCATTAACAAGCCTTTGAGTGAGAAGATAATGCTGTTTGGCCTGGGCAAGCGCCGGTGCATCGGGGAGGTCCTGGGCAAGTGGGAGGTCTTCCTCTTCCTGGCCATCCTGCTACAGCAACTGGAGTTCAGCGTGCCGCCGGGCGTGAAAGTCGACCTGACTCCCATCTACGGGCTGACCATGAAGCACGCCCGCTGTGAACACTTCCAGGCGCGGCTGCGCTTCTCCATCAAGTGAAGAAGACGCCACCATGCTGAGGCCAGGGAGCGAGTGGGGGCCAACCACGGAGACTCAGCCCTTGTTTCTCCTCCTTTCTTTTTTAAAAAATAGCAGCTTTAGCCAAGTGCAGGGCCTGTAATCCCAGCATTTTGGGAGGCCAAGGTTGGAGGATCATTTGAGCCCAGGAGTTGGAAGGCAGCCTGGGCAACATAGTGGGACCCTGTCTCTATTAAACAAAAAAAAAAAAATTAGTCAAGAGCCTGAGTGACATAGCAAGACCATGTCTCAAAAAACATATATATGTGTGTGTGTGTGTGTGTGTGTGTGTAATTCTTATACCATATAATTCACCTTCTTTTTTTTTTTTTTTTTTTCCGAGACAGAATCTCACTCTGTCGTCCAGGCTGGAGTACAGTGGCGTGATCTCAGCTCACTGCAACCTCCACCTCCCAGGTTCAAGTGATCCTCCCACTTCAGCCTCCCGAGTACCTGGGATTGCAAGCATGAGCCACTATGCCTGGCTGATTTTTGTAGTTTTAGTAGAGATGGGGTTTCACCATGTTGGCCAGGGTGGTCTCGAACTCCTGACCCCAAGTTATCCACCTGCCTTGGCTTCCCAAAGTCCTGGGATTACAGGTGTGAGCCACCACATCCAGCCTAATTCACATTCTTAAAGTGTCAAATGACTTCTAGTGTAGAATTGTGCAACCATCACCAGAATTAATTTTATTGTTGTTATTATTTTTGAGATGGAGTCTCGCTCTGTTGCCAGGCTGGAGTGCAGTGGCGCGATCTCGGCTCACTGCAACCTCCGCCTCCCATGTTCAAGCGATTCTCCTGCCTCAGCCTCCCAAGTAGCTGGGACTACAGGTGTGTGCCACCATGGCCAGCTAATTTTTGTATTTTTAGTAGAGATGAGGTTTCACCATGTTGGCCAGGATGGTCTCCATCTCTTGACCTCGTGATCCACCCGCCTCAGTCTCCCAAAGTGCTGGGATTAACAGGAGCGAACCACCGTGCCCAGCCTTTTTTTTTTTTTTTTTGAGACGGAGTCTTCCTCTGTCTCCTAGGTGACAAGTGATCTGCCTGCCTCGACCTCTCTCAAAGTGCTGGAATTACAGGTGTGAGCCACCGCGCCTGGCTCACAATTAATTTTAGAACATTTTCATCACCCCTAAAAGAAACCCTGCACCCATTAGCAGTCCCTCCACATTTCCCCCTAGCCTTCCTCCCCTGCCTCACCAGCCCTGGCAACTACTAATCTACTTTCTGTGTCTATGGATTTGCCTTCTCTAAACATTTCATATAAATGGAATTACACAATGAGTGGTCTTTTGTTACTGGCTTCTTTCACCTAGCACAATGTTTTCAAGGCTCATGTTTGTTGTGGCGTGTGTCAGTAAGCCCTTGGTGCTTGAGTCCTGAGACCGGGTCTAGGTCTGTGCTCTCTTCAGTCATTGATAGGCACCTCCTTCACTCCTCTCTCTTCTCTCCTTTCATGTTGTTTGACCAAAGTTTTTGAACAATTGAAGGGAACAAGGAGAAAGGGATCCAGTCTCAGGTGCCAAAACCCAGTTGGGTGGATGGGGATCCCCCCGTCCCATTCTCAAAAGGCAGAACGCATGACCTCTCACAAGGCCTTGATTTCTTCGTTCACAGACCAGGGGCGGATAAGCTTCCCAGAAGTGCTTGGGTTATTTGAAAAAGGCCCAGGTCTCATCAAAGGACACTATCAAGAAATTGAAAGGAGGCCAGGCACAGTGGCTGACGCCTATAATCCCAGCATTTTGGGAGGCCAAGGCAGTTGGATCACTTGAGGTCAGGAGTTTGAGACCAGCCTGGACAACATAGTGAAACCTCATCTCTACCAAATATGCAAAAACTAGCTGAATATAGTGGCTAGCCTCAGCTGCTTAGGAGACTGTAATCCCAGGTGCTCACGAGGCTGTAATCCCAGCTACTCAGGAGGCTGAGGCATGAGAATCACTTGAACTCAGGAAGCGGGGGTTGCAGTGAGCCAAGATCCTGCCATTGCACTCCAGCCTGGGCTACAGAGTGAGACTCTGTCTCAGAAAACAACAACAACAACAACAACAACAACAACTGAAAAGACAACCACAGAATGAGAGAAAATATTTGCAAAACATATAGCTGTTAAAGCATTTATATATAGAATATATAAAGAACTCCTGGCCGGGCACGATGGCTCACCCCTGTAATTCCAGCACTTTGGGAGGCCAAGGCGGGTGAATCATCTGAGGTCAGGAGTTTGAGACCAGCCTGGCCAACATGGTGAAATCCTGTCTCTACTAAAAATACAAAAATTAGTCAGGCATGGTGGCGGGTACCTGTAATCCCAGCTACTCAGGAGGCTGAGACGGGAAAAGCACTTGAACCCGGGGGCAGAGGGTGCAGTGAGCCATGATCACGCCATTGCACTCCAGCCTGGGCGACAAGAGTGAAACTCCATCTCAAATAAATAAATAAATATATACATATATATTTATATAATATATATAAAAATCTCCTACAACTCAACCACAAAAAAGCAACTCAATTAAAAAATGGGCAAAGGACTTGAATAGATGTTTATGTAAAGAAGATATATTGATTGTATCCCTGTATCAAGATATCCCAGATACCTCGTAAATATATATACCTACTATGTACCCACAAAAATTTAATTTGAAATTTTTACAAAAGAAAATACACAGTCCGGGCATGGCAGTGCTTACCTGTAGTCCCAGTTACTAGGGAGGCTGAGGTGGGAGGATGGCTTGAGCCCAGGAGTTGGAGGCTGCAATGAGCTGTGATCATACTACGGCACTCCAGCCTGGGCAAAAATGAGACTTTGTTCCTGGAAAAAAAAAAAAAAGAGTATATATATACACACACACTATCATCAACAAGCATATGAAAAGATGTTCAGCATCATTAGGGAAGTGTAAATCAGGCTGGGCATGGTGGCTTACACTTTAATCCCAGCATTTTGGGAGGCTGAGGCAGACGGATCACTTAAGGTCAGGAGTTAGAAACCCTGAGTAACATCATGAGACCCTGTCTCTACAAAAAATTAAACATTAGCTGGGCATGGTGGCTTACACTTTAATCCCAGCATTTTGGGAGGCTGAGGATTTATATATAGAATATATAAAGAACTCCTGGCCGGGCACAGTGGCTGACGCCTATAATCCCAGCATTTTGGGAGGCCAAGGCCGTTGGATCACTTGAGGTCAGGAGTTTGAGACCAGCCTGGACAACATAGTGAAACCTCATCTCTACCAAATATGCAAAAACTAGCTGAATATAGTG